AGTCCATTCGTTGGGAAGTACAAATACCAAAAGAATGAATATCATTTACCCAATTCCCAAATTTTTTCAAACTGTCAAATCCCAACTTGGTTTGGATATCTTGTTTTTAACCACTTATATTCGATTTTAGGTGTTAGGTGCATAATTGGATTGCTGTTACTTTTGTTCCTCCGATCACAGTTCATATTTTCTTTTTCACATTATTTCAGTTTTCAGAAATGTTATTGAAATTGATTTATGCTTATAATTCACTTCTATAAAACTGTGGGCATATACTTTGAATGGTAAACCTGAAAGAATTTCTTTGCATTCTTTCTGAAGTTCTATGAGTCGAATAGCTCAATGGTAACGTCTCTGACTGCAATACTAAGTGATGCGGGTTTGGATGTCATAGGAAAGATCAGTTCCCTCAAGGTTGGAGATACACCTTGCTGACTAGTGTCGACATACAAGAAATCTTGTTACAAGGTTCCATGCCGATTACCTTCAACCAACTAAGCATCGAAATTTCCTTTCACCTAATAACACCAGTCTGCCAAACGACAACTTTCGGCAAAAGTCTCATTAATAGTTATTACAGTTAGTTGATTGAGGTTATGAGCTGGATTAACATTGTATATCTAATATTTGTTACCAATGTTTATTGTCTTACATATTGCCCGGCAACTTTTAACCTTCCTCAAGATTAATTTTGATTGTGTATAAAGGCATTTATTGTATAAGATCTTTAATGCATTTGGATGTTTCATAGTGCCCTCCAAACATATTAAGTGAAGTGCACTCTCCCACCAACCACCTACATTTTCAGACACCTAAACCTGTTGTATTAAAGCTAATGATCCTAATTGACTGCCCAAACGTTGGTAGATGAAGTGGGGTTTGACCTGGTGACTGACTCACTGATTGAGAATTGACTTCCTAGGCCAAAGAATTGAAACTTCACATAGACAGATGACCAATGTAAAATTCTGCACAAATGTGCACCAGTCCGATTCTCCACACCTTAAAACAATGCACAAAAGGAAAATCAGGCAAAACTAAAGCATTATGAAGCCGACAGAGCAATTATTATGAAAAGAGAGGGGAAATAAATAAATGTGGGTTAATCATATGTTCAAAATGTTGAAAGTTTGACAAGGGTCATAACTTTATCATATCTGTTTTTCCACTCATTGAACAGTCTTACAAAATCACATAGATATTCAAATGAAGTCTGTGCATAATCTGATGCAATATTTTCCCTATTATGACAAAGATATAAGAAGAGGATATCGACTGAATGGAAACGACAATAATAGCTATGATAATTGGCAAACTTGTAGGGATTCGGGTGATTTTCAAAATATAAACAAACATAAGCTAAGCAAATGGTGTAGATTGAAGAGCACTAAGCAGCTATTATTTTTTGTTTAAGACTCCTTAACACAGTCTATCCTTGATAACACAAAGGGTGGAGAGCTAAACTATCCAATATCACAGAGAGCATTTGTCCATTAAACCATTGGGTTGCATTCCAGTTGCTCATGTTATGCTAGAATGATAATTATTGAGATCCAGAACAGTGGCAATAAATGTGTTGAAAAGGTAAGATGTTCATCCCTCGAACAAAATGTAAAATTTGAAAACCTGCACCAGTTTTTACAAATTACTCGATTTCTTCAAATTCGAATTACCATTGTCTGTTTAACAGTATCCGGTAGCCTAGATTCCCGTATTTAGCTTCTACAATCAGATAATATCTTCAAAACTTCGAAGAGTATCTTGTTTTTGTCAATGTGACATTTTTTCTGCAATGTTGGTTTTTTAGTTAAATTTGAGCACTAATGTTTATAGCAGCTGAGTACATGGGTAATACTTGCAATTCAACTACCAGCTGTTTCGTTCATTTAAAACTTCACAGCGTGAACATATTATTTCCTTTTGCATAAAATCATAGTAATAATAATAATATATTTCACATAGTGTTGGAAATGTCACTTTTGCGTTCTTTAATCCAAAGAATATTTGAATCCACTTATAAATCAATGAATAAACTTTTTCCACTGATATTCACATCTGTGGGTAAAGCGATATTATGTTTCAGCGGACTTCAAGTGTTTATTTATTGTAGAGATGTGAAAAACCTACCTTTTCGACTTTAGTTAATCATGAAATACTTACTGACTGTCTTTACCGCGCACTTAATTGTATCGATTTTCCCCCCTTACTAAATCGATACACTTCAATTTAAAATGCATAAAGTTAACTAGTCTGTGATAACTTTTATCCAGGCAATAAGTACCAATTTGTTCATTATTCTTGATTATTATTATTAATATTCATCTGCATCATTGTAATAATGTCAGCTGTGGGGAGATTAAGAGATAAATTTGCTTGTTGTAAGTGCAATCATTCAGCTTGCTACGGTATTGTATGGAATTGTACAACCTATCGAGCAGACTATCGTGGACGTGATTCAGAGCGTCCCTCACCAATTTATCCAAAAGATAATTTAATTGTTGGTGCTCCGTTAGATTGTGCTAAAAAATGTGTGTGTGATGAAAATGATGAAGACACTTTGCGAATGAAGCGTTATGAAAATTCCAATGAGGTCAAATCAGTAGAGGAATAGCCTAAATCATATTGTTGTGAAGTGAATATTTAGAAGGAAGAAATAAATGTCAGGATATTACTTATCGAGAAGAGATTCGATCATACAGCTTTCACTGGAAAGACAGTCAACATCAGTTTCAAACTGATTTCATTTTGTTCTGAAACTCTTGTTTATCAATAACGTAATTTTATTCAAATACTGGTTCATCTTATTTTTGTCTTTTATAGACGTAAGGGAATTCTATGGAATTATAGTGCTGTAAAATTTAGTTATCTGCTTCAAACTACTTTTACATTTATGAGTAGGAATATGTGTTACTGTAACAGCATTGTTTGAATAACCAATCGGCGTCTATAATTATCACAAAGATGTAAAAGTTACTGGAAAGAAGACAAAATTACCCATACATATGCATTCTAAACTCGAGTTGTTTAAATCCAAGATGAAACAGACAGCAGAAATAGGACGGGGGATTTTAGGCATAAGGGAGAAAGTGAAGATAACTTCGAGAGTAAGATTGATCGACTGATCACGGAAAAGTGGTCGATGCACTTCTGTGCAGGTTTCTATGGTGATATATCTATCTGTTTTCTCTTAACCGCTGACCGAATGATATAATTCAGGACCAAAACATGCCCATCAAGCCAAACTATTCGAGTCGATTGGTGTTAGTTGATTTTTCGTGGTAGTTAATATCTGTCAGCTGGGTGTATGTAAAACTCTGATACGGCTGGTTGATTTATGCACTATTTCATGTATTGTAGATAATTCAACCATTAATAACATCTTGATGACAATGATTAGAAATTTTACGTTGTTTAGGCCTTAATCTTATGAATAAATCTTTTTCTACTGGGTGATGATTGAAGGCATAAATGAAATTTTGGACCACGGCCGGATTCGAACCAGCTACCACGGAGTTTCCAGCTCAGTGCTCTAGCAGTATAATTACAAGTCCACCAAACCACAGCTATCTCACATAGTCAAAATGAAAATCTCTCTGTGTTTATTTCTAACAATTCAAGGGCTGATTTCTACTTAATTCATAAAAATTAGTTTGTATCTATATGGGCAAATATTTAAAATGATGCATGAACTCATTATTATAGCAATCAGAAGTATTGTTAAGTATGGTTTCAAAAAAGCTATTGCTCGGCAATATATGGTGAGCGTTAAATCAGCTTATGTACGGCACAAGTCAACAGTCAGATAATTCATGGATTAATACCATGTGTATAGTGAGCTGTCTCCATCAATTAATAGACATAGTACATGAGGTTTTCGCTCAAGCATTTAGCCCGATAATGATAACTGCGTTTCACCTCTAACATTATCCGAACATAGGTATCTTATGTGAAATCTGGAGTCTTCAGGCTAATTTACTACAAACTTCTGTTATCATGGATGATCCTTTGAAGTAGTGAATATCTTCTCATTTGTCTAAGACTAATAGTCATCGGCTTAGTTTCTTTATGGGCTTTATATCATCTAGTTCGTCTTTGAGACAATGCACTCCGATGTATACAGAATCTGAACATATGCCGTAAGAGAACTGATTATTTCAGTTGTTAAATTTAGTTCACTCCCTCAAAGTAACCATTTATATGCCTAAACTATAAATATTGACTAGTTTCGTTGGATGATGAGTAATGTAGCGTATTCTTTATTGACCTAACTAGGCTGTGAACCTCATGTATTGTGTGAGGGTTTCTGACAATAGCCGGTTGCCTAGGCTAAAGTAAATGGAGCTAGGTTAAAGCGGTTAAACCATATCTCCCGATGAGTGCATTCCATTGTTATATAATCTGTTATGAATTGTTCTTTTGCTTACACGTATGCAGCCTCTTTACAGCTAACTATTGAACTTTTTGTTTGGTGTGAATTAGTAATAATTTTTATCTACTGTATATAAGTACTTTCACTCTCTCAGTATTTCGCATCCTGTAATTAACCTTTTACAGGCCTTTAAAATTTTTAAAAACACTGTACAGCACATATTTAACCACACAACTGAAGCCAATAGTCGTAGACCGCATAGATTTCATACAATTCCAGTCCTTAATAAATGTAAATAGGACGATTTAAAGCTTACACTAGGTAGGTTCCATACATATTTTGACTTGATAGATTGGTTTCGTATCTTTTTCGAGCCACAATGAAAATGGCATGGTAGGATGAATAGTGTCCTGAGATACGTTACATATGATCTAGTCACTCAGGCTTACAACCTCATCGACTTACTGGCTGGCTTTCGCCATGCAAAAATCTAAGCCACATGCAACGAAAGCTGTGAATATCTGAAAACTCTGATGTGGTAATTCTCTTGGTTATGGGTAGCAGTGGCATCAAGGATACACGTTCCGCCCTTTTGAAACTCCAGCTGAGTGTACCTGTCTCCCCATGAGCGATATTCTTTCCAGTATGAATCGAACCAAAAACAAACGCTTCAAATGCCAGCGCGTTATCTACAAGGCCATCGAATTGCAGTAACTACTCCATGCGCAAAGAGCATAGTACAATTCTTTTAAATCTTATTGATAAAGAATTTCCCTTCCGAATTGCTTTAATGCTCAGATAGCTGTCAATATTCAGGTTCATGTAACCACTCATAGCATAAAATATTGTTTTTAAACGTAGAGTCTAATGAGAATGTAACAAAAAGACCTATCTACACTCAAATTCTCATCTTTATAATAATAAAGACTGTTTAGCCCGTTACCTGATACACTTTTATTTACTTGGTTTTGAGCCAAACGTGAAGCTGCTATCTGGTTATCAAGGCCAAGGTTAGATATACTGGGCTTAAACGTCTTATCTAATGTTGGATAGCTGACTATCTAGATTATTGAGCCGCACCTTTTCCATCTGTTCGTTCAGTAGAAGGATTATTCGTTAGCCACTTAGTGCAATTCAATGTGAAACAGTAAGAATTAGAGTTCAAAAATTATCTTACAACAGAATGTGCTACTGGATAGCTGAAGCTGTTAGAAATATTCACTAATAACTACCATTTTAGACAGTGGACGACTCGATTTCTGCTGCATGTTCAGCGTGTCTTACACATGAAAGCTACTACTACTGAACAACTTGAGTAGTTAAAAACTACTCTGGCTGATCTGTAGTATTTCACAAGCCAGATCAGAGTGATGTAAACGCTGGACTACCGTTGTGCTCGGTTAGGGCCAAAATCTATAGATCAGCCTAATTGGTTTCTAACTACTCAAGTCCTTCAGTAGTAGTATCCTTCGCTAGTTAATGACACCTTTTTGTCAGATATCTCATCTTATGATCTTGGCTTAGTGGTTTCCACTGGAAGACTTGTTGACACCATAGTTTATCAGTTGAAAAACTGCTCAGCTGTACGAAATGTCAACGTGGACCGTACAACTTACGAATTGATTCTTCTATTTAAGGTATACCGATCCATGAAAATCAGCTAGCCAGCCAAATTCACATGATTAGACCTAATTCGGCTAATCAAGTCTAATCGGCTTGGGTACATAGCACGTTTAGATCACTCTGATCTAGATGGTGAAAGTCTTACAAATATCTAGAATTCTCTTCTGTCCATATCACAAATGGAGAGAATGAATTATGACTATATTAACTACTTTATGAAGTTGTCTACTTGCTTTAATATGACTGAAAATAACGAATTGACATTGAAATATCTTGCCTTAAGTAATATTTCTCACGGTACGTTGCACCTAATAAATGAATGACATAAATTCGTAAATATAAAATAGCACTGCCTCATTTGATGGCTTCTTATCATTTAAAGTGAGTAGTCTTTAGCTCACATTAGAGGTGATCTCTAATTGAATTCATGGTAAAAAAAACTCATCTGTATGACCAAGAGATGGTTCTGCTGAATACATTCTAAATAGTTCGTGTCTAAATGGAAAAGAATTTTTCAGCAGTGCAACTAGAAGATATCTTTTAAACACGGGACACTTGGTTGATGTTCTCTGAAGCTTTCAAAACTGTTTCTCTTTACAAAAGGCTAAAAGTGTTCTCGCCTACACCAATATATACTGAAAGAGATAGTAATTAGTCCCCCTCCTTTCCATTGGTAATTGTTTTCGCCCACATACTAACTGCAATTATTTCAATGTTTCAGTTATCAATTTGATCATGCATTACACTTGTTTGTCAGTATTATTTGTCCAGTTTTATTACATTCATTTCCACTTCTTAACAACTGTAGATTTTTCTGCTTGAACACTCATAAATTTACAATAAGTTACAATAAGGTTTTGCGATTCCTTTTTCGCTACTTTCCTAACATCCTGACAGCAGTAATTTATATTTTCAGGATAGTGTTTCGCAATTAAAGTACGTTATATTGTTTTATTTACAATTTCAAGTTGTTTGCAGCTGATTAAATACTGTTCGCATTCATCAAAAGAACTGAATATGTGGAACTAAAGAGTGTCCAACTAAGAAACAACTTACATCTCTTTAATCTTGTTGGTTTGCAGAGAGTGAACATATTTGTGTAATATTTGTCTTCACGACATATCAATTCACCTGCGACAAATCTCCAAGTGTCTGAGAGATCATCATCATCAAGATCAACATGGGACCAGGCATTAGTGCGTAACGGTTCAAGTTGCCACACCTCATATCAACACACTAAATAACAAGGCAGTGAAATGAAGATGGTGAAAGAAAAATCGGTCAAATGAAGTAAAAATAGGAAGTAGTAAAAGAGCAAGAGGAAGGATGCGAAGATGAGATTCGGTATAGCGTTGTTAAGATGAGGATAATGTATGTATGCATCTGTACCACTGACATCGGTTCTGTGCCATAACACCTAAAGTCTACAATCACTGATTTTTCTTCTCCTGTGCACCCCAACCGGCTATTCTGCATCACCCACCCTACATGGCTCAAACGAACAGTCAGAGACTTAATGCATTGGTACCACGTTTTAGTCTGTCTGCCCCGAACCTTTTTCCAAACTGAACCTACTTCGGTCAACATTGTATGACGAGGCAGACGGTGGCTAGGCATCCGTAACACATGCCCCAGCCATTTCAACTAATAAAGGTTCACATCAACTGTCTTACCTCTCCTGCCTAAAACTCTACATCTGACTTCTGCGTTACTCACGTGGTGACGCCACGAAACACAGCCTATGCTACGAAGGCAACGGCGGTCAAACATCTGAAGTCTTCTCATGTCTTCTACCTTTAATGGCCATGTTTCACAGCCTTACAGTAGAATAAAGTGAACTGCATCCCAGTAC